CATCAAAACGGAGAATTTCAGACCGATATCCCTGATGAATATGGATTCCAAAATCCTCAACAAAATCCTAGCTAATAGGATCCAACAATATATTAAAAAGATCATCCACCACGACCAAGTGGGATCTATCCCTGTGATGCGAGGGTGGTTCAACATTCACAAATCAATCCGTGTGATAGAACACATTAATAAGAGGAGAGAGAAGAACCATAGGGTCCTCTCAATTGATGCAGAAAAAGCATTTGACAAAATACAGCATCCTTTCCTGATTAAAACTCTTTATAGAGATAGAGGGAACATTCCTCAAGTTCATAAAATCCATCTATGAAAAACCCACAACGAATATCATTCTCAATAGGGAAAAGCTGACAGCCTTTCCCTTAAGATCAGGAACATGTTAAGGATGCCCACTCTCGCCACTACTGTTCAACATAGTACTAGAAGTCTTAGCAACAGCAATCAGACAACAAAAAGAAATAAAAGGTATTCAAATTGGTAAAGAAGAAGTCAAACTCTCTCTTTTCGCAGATGACATGATACTTTATGTGGAAAACCCAAAAGACTCCACCCCCAAATTACTAGAACTCATACAGCAATTCAGTGATGTGGCAGGACAGAAAATCAATGCATGGAAATCAGTTGCTTTCCTCTACACTAACAATGTAACTGTAGAAAGGGAAATTAGGGAATCGATTCCATTTACAATAGCACCTATAACCATAAGATACCTTGGAATAAACTAAACCAAAGAGGTAAAGGATCTATACTCTAGGAATTACAGAACACTCATGAAAGAAATTGAAGAAGACACAAAGAGATGGAAAAACATTCCATGCTCATGGATCAGAAGAATAAACATTGTTAAAATGTCTATGCTACCCAGAGCAATCTATACCTTCAATGCCATCCCGATCAAAATTCCAATGACATTTTTCAAAGTGCTGGAACAAACAATCCTAAAATTTGTATGGAATCAGAAAAGACCCGAATCACCAAGGAAATGTTGAAAAAGAAAAACAAAGCTGGGGACATCATGCTCCCTCATTTCAAGCTATATTACAAAGCCATGATCACCATGACAGCATGATACTGGCAAAAAAACAGACATATAGATCAATGGAACAGAATAGAGAGCCCAGATATGGACCCTCAACTCTATGGTCAAATAATCTTCGACAAAGCAGGAAAAAATATGCAATGGAAAAAAGACAGTCTCTTTAACAAATGGTGCTGGGAAAATTGGACAGCTGTATACAGAAGAAGGAAACTTGACCATTCTCTAACACCATACACAAAGCTAAAATGGATGAAAGACCTCAATGTGAGACAGGAATCCATCAAAATCCTGGAGGAGAACATAGGCCGATGTCTTTGACATCGGCCACAGCAACTTCTTTCAAGATACATCTCCAAAGGCAAGTGAAACAAAAGCAAAAATGAAATTTTGGGACTTCATCAAGAAGCACAGCAAAGAAAACAGTCAACAAAACAAAAAGACAACCCACAGAATGGGAGAAGATATTTGCAAACACCACAGACAAAGGGCTGATATCCAAGATGTATAAAGAACTTCTCAAACTCAACACCCAAAAAAACAAATAATCCAGTCAAGAAATGGGCAGAAGACATGAACAGACACTTCTCCATAGAAGACATACAAATGGCTAACAGACACATGAAAAAATGTTCATCATCATTAGCCATCAGGGAAATTCAAATCAATACCACATTGAGATACCACCTTACACCAGTTAGAATGGCAAAAATGGACAAGGCAAGAAACAACAAATGTTGGAGAGGTTATGGAGAAAGGGGAACCCTCTTACACTCTTGGTGGGAATGCAAGTTGGTACAGCCACTTTGGAAAACAGTGTGGAGGTTTCTCAAAAAATTAAAAATAGAGCTACCCTATGACCCAACATTTGCACTACTGGGTATTTACCCCAAAGACACAGATGTAGTGAAAAGATATGCACCCCAATGTTCATTGCAGCAATGTCCGCAATGGCCAAACTGTGGAAAGAGCTGAGATGCCCTTCAACAGATGAATGGATAAAGAAGATGTGGTTCATATATACAATGGAATATTACTCAGCCATCAGAAAGGATGAATACCCAACTTTTACATCAACATGGATGGGACTGGAGGAGATTATGCTAAGTGAAATAAGTCAATCAGAGAAAGTCAATTATCATATGGTTTCACTTATTTGTGGAACATAAGGAATAGCATGGAGGACATTAGGAGAAGGAAGGGAAAAATGAAGGGGGGGAATTGGAGGGGGAGATGAACCATGAGAGACTATGGACTCTGAGAAACAAACAGGGTTTTAGAGGGGAGTGGGGTGGGGGGATGGGTTAGCCTTGTGATGGGTATTAAGGAAGGCACGTATTGCATGGAGCACTGGGTGCTACACAAAAACAAAGAATCATGGAACACTACATCAAAAACTAATGATGTACTGTATGGTGACTAACATAATAAAATTAAATTAAATTAAAAAATAAAAATAAAATAAAAAATAAAATAATACTGTCAACTGTTCCCCTAACTCCTTTGGCACACTGATAGTAACTGCATTTACTTTATAAACTAAAACAGGGAAAATTGGTAACTTTATAACATTGACTTTCCCCATTCTGGAACTTCATATCTCTCTCCAAATTTGTATTTCCCTTTGTAAAGTATTATTGTTTTATTTGTATAGGTCCTGAACATTTATGGCTTCAGTCTGAAGATGTTTTAAAATTAGTTTCTGTTTTAGAAGATATCTCTTTTCTGACTGTATTTTGTAAATGATTATTTCTAGTGTGTACACGAGTACATAGATACACATTTATGTATGTCAATACATATATTTTTTTTAATTTCATCTAGATATTTTGAAACCAGGTCACTTTATTGAGCTTATTAGTTTCAGAGTTTTCTAGCTGATTTGCTTAGATTTTTCCAAGATGGCAAATATATCAATAGCAAATAATGAGTTTTTCTCCTCCTTCCCAATATGCAAGTCTCTTACTTCCTTTCTTGGCTTATTACAATATCTAAAACATCCAGAACAATATAGCTAAAATAAAACAATGTAAATAAAACAAAATAAATACAAAACAATACAGAAAAATTATACTATTTCAAGTTGCACTACAAGTATTTTTAAAAATCATGAATGTGTGTTGAAAACAAAACTTATCTATAGAGACTGGAACTGGATCAGGGTTGCCAGGATGGAGTGGTGGGAGAGGCTGGGCTGAGTGCACGAGGAGACATCTCCTGGGGAGATGGAAATGTTTTAGATCTCAATTGGGGTGGTAGTTACACAGGGACACAGATCTGTCAAAAGTAACTGACCTATATGCTTAAAATTTGTGAGTTTTTATTTTATTAATTTATACCCTAATACAGTGATTTAAACAAAAATACAGAATGGGTGTTGAGTGCCTTCAAATGTTCTACTGTGATGATAATGACGGTATTCTCCTTGGACAGATGGCTGTAATGAATTATACTACTAGTGTGTTTTCCCTCTATGTTTTATGTATTTTAAACAATTAAAACGACGATTTGATCATTGCAGAGAATGTTTAACATGTAGTTAAACATTATGAAATAAAAATGCTAACACCTGAAATGACACCACAGCAGAGGCTGCAAGCAACATTTTTTTCCCTCTCAAACACGGACCAATGTAATCATACGTGTGCATGTCTGTATCATGTTATCTGCTGCTTAAAACATTTCAATGTCCTTACGGGTCGTAAATGATCCAGCCCTACCTGTTAATTCCCTATTACTGTTGTAACAAATTATCACAAATTTCATGGCTTAAAACAACAGAAATGCATTCTCCTACAGTTCTGGAGGCCAAGTCTGAAATGAGTCTTCTGGGGCAAAAATCAAGGTGTCAACAGGGCCTTACTTCCTCTGGAAGCTCTAGGGAGGAATCTGTTTCTTCACCTTTTCCAGCAGGTAGAGCTACATTTCCTGCCTCTTCCTCCATCTTCAAATCCATGGCAGAGCATCTTCTCTGCCTTGGCTTCCCTCACATGGCCTTTTCTTCTGAAACTTCCCTGTCCTTTGTGATGACACTGGGGCCCACCTGGATAATCCAGGATAATCTTCCAGGTCCTTCACTTAACCACACCTGCAAAGACCCTGTCCACATAAGGAACCATGCACAGGCCCGACTGATTAGGATGTGGCTCTTCAGGGGCCACTGTCGGGCTGACTGCCCTTCACCCACCTCTCCAGGCAGCCTCCCCACCCTACCTGCACTATGCCAGCTACACTGCTCTTCTTTCAGTCTCTTGCCCATACCACACCTCCTCTTGCCACAGGCCTGGTTCACACACTGGTTCACAAAGGGGAGAGACCACTATGCGTAACAGGAGAATTTCAGCTCCCAGGATAGTCAGGACGGGGGCCACAAGTAACAAGGCGAGGACAGTGTGAGCTACAGAGCCCTGAGAAGCCGCTCTGCTGACGGAGCATTCAAGGAGCCATTCTAGAGAACAGAGTCCTCCAACAGAGGTGGGTGCCATTGTGATTCAAATCCTGTCTCCTCTCCCAAACCCTCTAGAAGTTTGCATTGCTTATTACAACTTGTACGTGAATGTGTGGAGCCAGGCTCGGGGACACAGAGCAGCACCTGACACTGGGTTAGAGGAGAAACTGAGGGCACATGGGGCTGGGCCTGGCTCTTGCCAGAGTCCAGTTGGGCCATGGAAAAACAGAATGGCAGACTGGGAGGAGTGACCAGATGGAGCATCATGATAGAACAGAACCTCATGACACTCATTTTTCCAGAGTCCAACCCACCAGCTAACAAGCTATGAGGGGAGCTTGGGAGGTGCCCATGGGTCCATCCCTGGGGGGCAGCTGGCCCAGACACTCAGATATCTACTTACAGCTGTGGAGAGTCGTGACGCCAGCGTCATTTCCAGGTTCCCCTTCAGGCCCACCAGGGGTGGCACCAATGTCAATAGGTCTTTAACCTCTACAAACACGGGCCAGTGCTGGTGAGGAAAGAATAAGGAGATCAATTCAAATACACATATTGGCACATCTTCAAAACTTCTTGAAAGAAGTTGTGGCAAAAACAATGGATCATGGAACACTACATCAAAAACTAATGATGTAATGTATGGTGATTAACATAACAATAAAAAAATTTAAAGAGAAGTTGTGGCAAGTTACTTCTCATGAGTAAGACTAAGTAGTTTCTTAAATGGCTTTAAATTAAACATAGAATAAGGAAGCCATGAAATTTTCTGAATACTATTCAGTGAACAGCACTAGTGGCCTCAAGAGAGTTCCTTTCTTTCTCTGGCCTTCAGCAACTGGGAAAACTGGGGGGCAAGCTGGGGTCCGACGCCAACTGGCTGGGTCCAGTCTGCAAACACGCTGTGTCCAGTGTGGCCCATGTGTTTGTAGCAACAGGAACGAGTCACCGATTTCAAAGCTGGGAGATTCCTCATGAATGGGAGCACTGGCAAGACCAGCTGGGACTGAGGACTGGCACTGCTCTACCAGGGACAGTGATTCCCAGGTGGCCCCAAGACACCACGGCCAAGTGGCCCCAGAGCATCACGTGCGGACCCTGGATTTGTCAAAACAGACAGAATATGTCTCTATCCAGGTCTCTATCAAATGTAAAAAATTAAAAATAAAAATAAAGGGCCCCTGGGTGGCTCAGTTGGTTAAGCACTGCCTTCGGCTCAGGTCATGATCCCGGGGTCCTGGGATCAAGCCCTGAGTCGGGCTCCCTGCTCAGCGGGGAGCCTGGTTCTCCCTCTGCCGCTCCCCACCTCGTGCTCTCTCTCTCCCTCTTCTCACTCACTCTCTCTCTATCTCAAATAAAGATAAGATAAAATAAAAAAAGAATGAAAGGGGCACATACATTAAGAAAACTGGAAGAGAAAAAAAAAAGAAAACTGGAAGAGAAAAAACTTGTTTGTGAAGTGAAAATGATTCCTACCTGTTTATATGCAATTAGATTGCCTGTGTCCCCCTCTACCAATTTTCAATACCCTATCTGTTCCCACTGACTTAATTTACCTCTCTGGCCCCTATAGATACATGTGAGCCCTACACTAAAGGCTCCTCTTGGTTTTAGAATTCTAGACCTAAAACATCCTCCTACTTTGTCAGCTAAGAGACAGGAGGCCTGGCGTCTGGTCCCTGTTCCCTGAAACTGAAGATGTATGAACCCACTTACTGTAGAGGCCCAGAAGGGTCATCTAAAGCATCCCAACAAAACAGCTTATAGGGCCTGAAGTGAAAAGGGTCGGGCCTCCTTCAGGTTCTTCGATGGAGAAAGAGCACCCGTGGCTGATGGCTCCCTTTTTCCTTTTACCTTATCTGCAAAGCTGGGGCATTCAGAATCCATTCCCAGCTCTGATGGAGTTAGGAGTCTGCCCTCCCCTGAAAGTTCAGAAGAAAACTGTGTCACCAGGCAAGGAGGTGCTCCCACCATCAGCAGCCTCCTGTAGCTCCTGGTCTTCCAGAAGCACCCAGCCCCAGTCCCCTGTGCAGCTGTCCTATCAGTGCACCACATCCCATCCAGAGAGGTCAGTCTGCCATCCAGTTCCTGACAGGGCCCTCCTCCCTGGGCTCTGGCCTCCCCTGAGGCTGGCCACCTCCTCCCACCTCCCCAGCAAGCCGGCCTGCTCCCGAGCACTTTCTTTTCAGCTGACACACAAGTCCGAGTACCCACTGACTCAAGAGTAAAAATACCCCCCCTTTCTCAGCATCCCCTGCCACAGAGGGCTCACCAACACCCAAACAACTCCTCTGTACTCAGCATACAACTTGAGCAGAGCAGACAGATCCCCTCACTGCCTGTCCAGCACCCTGACCCCATGACCATGGCCGCTTGCCATTCCTCACTCCTTGCAAATGTCATTCATCTGTATCTCTGCACACACTGATCCCTTTGCTTGGAATGTTTGCTATTTCTCACATCATCCTAGAAGCTATTATATTATCCTTTAAGGGCCAACTCCAGCTGTCCTGCTAACTACAGATTCTTTAATCCCTCTAGGAAGAAAGAATTGTTCCCTACTTCTTCACAGGCAAACGTCTGCTCACTGCCTCCGCTCCCTGATACTTGTTTGTGGGATGATCAGATGAGTGCCTGCCTCACCCGCTAGGCTACAAATGCCAGGAAGGCAGGGATAGGCCTGCTTCTGCTCACCGCTGCACCCCCAGAGCCCCAGAGCAGCTGGTACAGACTTCAACACAATATGCTGAGCGAATAAATGAGGAATCAGATAAATGAATGAATTCATCTCACCTACTCTGAGCATGGCTACATCCTAATTCATGTCTGATTCAGTGCAGAAAGACGACATACACAATTAAAACCCCTGTCATTGCCTCTGGGTGCACCCCAATAAGGTCTGAAGGACACACATGACCTGATAATAGAGGCTTCCTCCACAAATAAACTGAGATTGAGGGCTTAACCTCAACTGCGATACTTACTTTATAAAAAAAGAGAAACATTTATACCTTCCTTCCTTGTGTAACTGAAACGTAATTCTTTGAAAAACAAAAACAAAAACAACGAACTGATACTCTGACCACTTACTGGGCCTCAATCCCTGGGCCCAACGATAGACTGAACCCAGACCCCGTAAACAGAGAACAGACTCCTGGCCCCAAATCTAGAGGAGGTAAAGCCAGGACCTGACCAGTGCCCTTGGGGCCAGCCCACTGTGCCAGGCACAGCCACGAGGCACACCTGCCAGGTGGTCATCCTTGCTGCAGGCTCATAAGACCCGAGGCCCCAGCATGAGGCAGCCTGGGAACAGATGGAGCCAGGTCACCCTCCTGTGTTATGGGACTACCCTGTGGAATGGTGCTGGCAAGGCTGCCCCCTACACCGCTGAGCGGCGGTGAGCAGGGAGGTAGTGGTGCACATGCAGGAGCCATGCAAACCTGAGTGCCCTTGACCTTCACCATAGCCAGGAGGTACTGCACGTTTGCAAATGGGAAGAAGGAATGAGTTGTATCTTCCAGGGCTGTTTTCTGTTTCTCCCAGCTGCCGGGCCTCCCAAAGCTGGATGGCTCAAGGCCTGGATTTGCAAACAGCCTTCCTCCGGTACGCTCTGGGCCTGCCTCCCAAGACACCCCTTTTGCTGCATGCTAGCCTCCCAGATGGCACCTTAACACAGAGGTCCAGAAAGGCGTTCTGCCCTCTGGTAGACTTCCTCCTGGACTGGCCTTCTGCACCACCACCACTAATGGTCAGGCACAATCCCGAGCCCGTCTTCCCCCCACATGCCACCGAATCTTCTGGACTCTGCCAAAATCCCCCAGCTGATTGATCAACACTCTCCCAGGCTGCAGCACCTAAGGGACACGCAGTGTAGTGGAGGGGCTCAAACTCATGCTCCATGAGGAGGTCATGGAAGGTCAAAAAGGAGAGACCCAGGGCAGAGTGTTTCTCCCCAGTATCCCCAGGAGGGTCTTAGGGAAGGGGTGAGAGACTACTACAAAAGCCCAAGGGGTGAAGCTCTGAGGTGGGAGAGATGGGTACATAGGTTGCAAGCCCCACAAATGGATACTTTCTAACAGTACTGGCCAGTACACAATGGGCTGCTCTAGCCCCAGGAGGGGTGAGTGTGCCATCCACTGAGCCGTGTAAGCAGAGGCCAATTAGGAGGCATCATGAGCCTCATCCAGAGACTGGGGGACAGGGTGGGTGCTGATCACCCCTCTCCAACTCAGACAGGTGCACAGGGAAGGCTGAGCAGCCATCAGGAAGGAGATGCGGGGTCCAACTGAGGAAGGCACACACTAGCTGGGATGTCCCCATGGGCTGCAAAACTAAATTTAAATTTAATTTCACTGACTAAAAAGCATATCATATACTATGATCCCATACGTTCTTGACAGATACACACCACAACGTTGACCGAGATTATGGGCACCCTCTCTTCTTCACTTATGTATATTGTCTAGAATTACAGACTAATTCTATAAAAACGTTTAGGCAGACAAAGCAAACCCTCAATGATTCAAACAGCATTACCTGAGCATAAACAGACCAGGAGAAGTGAATGCTGGAGTGTGTGCTCTTGCTCAAGGGCCTCCCCGCAAATGCCTCCACCTAAGAGAGACCACTGCATCCCACGCCGCCTGGACCCCAGCCCGGGCTCTGGACAGAGATTCTGGGGACTGGAGGGAACAGTGCCCATCACCCTCAGGGCCACAACATGAGGCATACTTGGGCGCCCATCCTCACAACCCTGGGAGGTAGGTGCATTCGTTAACCCTGCCTGTAGGTGGGGAAGCTGATGCAGGGGAGGCTAATGAATTCCCTCATGTAGTGAGCGAATGGCAAAGAGTCTGAACCCCTCCAGATCCTGTCTGATGAGCCTGCATTCCCTGGAAGGAAAATGGTTTGAGCTCCCCAGGCTAACATGGTTCATGTGGGCTGACCTTGGAGAGGGTCGTCAGAAGCTTCTATGGATCTCAGACCTGAGGCCTCTGGAGGGACCTCCGGCTGGCACCACTGAGCCCGGGACTCCTGGGCATCAGGCCAGGCTCAGGGCTCTCCCAACCTATCTGTGATGCCCAGGGAGCCTGGCTCCCCTCTCCCTCCACCCAGGGCCCCATGCTGGTTATCATATGCCCAGTACGCACTTGGATGATGTTCATCACCAGGCCGGCTGTCAACATGCCCAAGCCTGAGAGTAGAATCGGCACCACGATCTGGCAAATGATAGTGAAGACAGTCTCAGGGAAGACCCCGTGGGGGGACCGAGTAAGCTCACAGCTGAAGCCTCGCAGCTTCTTGCCCTGAAAGTGAAACTCCAGATTCAGCTGGGTGACCACCATGGTCAGGCTGCCAACCACATGCACAGGAGCAAGACGTCCAAGTCTGTCCTCTGTCCTCCTCACCCACACCAGGATACGTTTCCTAAGAGGTCCACACAGGTAATGTTGCCAGTGCCCTGAGCTGCTGGAAGGCTCCCCGACTGCCCTTCAGCCAAGGGTGACAGCAAGCAAGAAACAAAGGCCAGTGTGACTCAGAGCCTCATTTGGGGCCTCGGCGAGCTCCTGCTGTCCGTCCACTCCCTGCAGATCAGGTTCTCCTCTGAGAGTGGCTGCTGTGTCAGCTGGGACCTCCCTCAGCGGGACTGTCATGAGGAGACTCACAGTCTCTCCCAGTGACCTTGACAGCATCCAGCCCACACTGGCTTGGGCTGGACCCAGGGAGACAGAGCCGCATGAGGCCTGGCCTTGGTGAGGGCTACAAAGAATCCTGCCCGCCTCTGCTTATGTACCCCAGGCTGCTTCTACTCTCGGCAGAGAAGGGCCTGGAGAAATCTCAGCATAAAGGACCCACTCCTACAGGCCCCTGAGGAGTTCATTCCTCAAGGTTGAGAGGGCTGCAGGTACCCAAGAAAGAAGCCATGTCCTACGATCACCTTGACTTCAGAGTCCAAAGGCTCATGGCCATATGAAGAAGCTGTGTTCACAGAGGAAATGCAGCCCTGTTCTCTCTCAAGGGACCAGAAGGCTTAAACATGTTTCCAAAGGGACCCCACCACTCTCATCCACTACAAAGGTTAGACCAACCCTGATAGCCTGCTGACTGCCCCAACCCAGAGAGTTGGCTGGGACGTTACCTTTGACTGCCTGTGATTCTATTGTTGGGTGTGCCCTATGCATTCCACAGGTACCAGGGACAGAATGGCAGGCCTGAGGGCTGACTGGAACAAGGATCAAGGCCACAACCAAAAGAAGCCCAAGGTCAGAAGCACACTTACCTACTGACCCAAGAGGACTTAACCTGGACCAGGCCCTTGATCTGGGCCTCAACTTCTGCTCTGTTCCTCTCAGGCAACTTAGCTGGTTCCCCTCTATTGGACAGTCTATCCCACACTCAGGTCCCATCCCCTTAGCCTGGAGTTCATAGTCCTCACCAATCTAGATCCTACTGACTTCCTCAAGCCTATCCACCTCCTCACCAACTCCAGTCAAACTTCTCCAAAAAATATCTCCCTCAAGCCCCAGATATTCCTCTCTGCATCTGTCCTCACATAATTCATTTACTCATTCATTCAACAGATATTTTTAAGCCTCTCCTTGGAGCCAGACATAATGAGCTCTACCCTTCTTGGACATTCATCCTTTTGATCTGTGACTGCTGGCCCAGTAGAACACAGTGGAAGAGACACCATGCCAGTCTGGTTCTTGAGAAACTAAGTCTCCACTTCCCATCTCCTGAGATGCTCATGCTTGAAACCCAGATACCACACTGTGAGGAGCCCAAGTGGTCACACAGAGAAGCCCCCTATGGGTGTTCCAGCTGTGATTCCAGGTGACAGCCAGGAGCAACTGTCATGTCGTGTAAGTGAGCTACCCTGCATTGCGTACGATGCGTAGCAAGCCACAGCAGCAGATGCTGCACCGGAGGAGACACCCCTTCTCATGGAGCCCTACCCAAACTGCAGATTCATGATCAAACTGAACGACTGGCTTGATACAAGTCACCAAATTTGGGTGTGGTGTGCTGCATAGCAATAGGTAACAGGGACATCTGGGGAGCCTCATCCCCACTCTCTACTTTTCTCATCTCAGATAAACTAACAACTACCAAGCCTCCCCTGAGCTGTCAGACTCCGTGTAACCCCCATGTAACTCGATCAGTCTTCCATGATCATTCCTTCCCACCCCTCTCCCTAGCCTCCTGCTTCAGTGAATGGTTCTGCCAGAAACCCAAAACCCACTCTGATTACCCATCCCCTGACCACCTCAACCCCACATCCAATCTGCTTGTCCCTACGTCTCTCCCATGTCTGTCCCCTCCTCTCCAGCTCATGGACACCACCTTCACCAGGGCCCTTACTACCTCCTAACCCATCTGTCCACCAGAAGTAATATGCTCTTCACATTAACATTTTATATTACATCTCCAAGTCACCTGCTTGCCCAAATATCCTCATTAGCTGTCAACTCATTACTGGAAAAAGTTGAGATTCTGTGGCCAGACATTCAAGGTCCCTCACAATTTGGGGGGGAAAAGCATCCATTTGAGCCCTCTCTTTCTAGAACATGGTCATACACTGCCCAGCCTAGAAGGAACTTCCCGGGACCCTCACGTGGGCCATGCCTATGTTCACAATACTCCTTCTGCAGGTTCCACACACTGATCAGGCCAAACTCTTGCCAAACCTCAGGGCCAACTGAAGTGTCTTCTCATCTTTGAGGCCATCCCAGTTTCCTGGCCGGAGCCTAACGTCTTCCCCAGAATTCCCAAGCTCTTTTTCTGAACCTCTCTGAAGGCAAGCCCACATCTGCCCAGTGGTAGCATGAAATGCACACACATTGACTCTCCCCTCCTGGAGTGTGCACCTCTTGAGACTGGAATCTGGCTGACTCACTGCTGCAGCTTCAGAGCAGGGGAAGCATTCATTCATTTACTCCAGAAATTAGTACCGAGGGGCTAATATTTGCCAGACTCTTGGTCTAAGTGTCATGGTACATGTTAGCTGAAAGACACATGCTTTCCACATGCCTCCCAGTGTGGCAGCCAAACATAAAAATGAAAATGTAATTATGACCTGTGATAAGTGCTCTGAAGGAAACCCAAGGAATGGGAGCAGAGATGAGGACCAATCAACCACACATACCACTGAGACCTGGAAGTGAATGAATAAATGAACAAATGAAAGAGCTTCACTCCCTTGGGTAGCCATCTGTGCTTCTCAATGCCCTTTCACGCTGAATCATTTCATGTTCAATCCATCACCAAACTCGCAAAAATATCTCTAGAATGTTCACCAAGTACAACCTTCTGTTTTTGCAAATGAGAAATCGAAGGCCCAACAGGCACATGAAAAAATGCTCCACCCCCATCACTAGCCATCAGGGAAATACAAATCAAAACCACACTGAGATACCACCTTACACTAGTCAGAATGGCTAAAATTAACAAGACAGGGAACAACAGATGTTGGCAAGGATGCAGAGAAAGGGGAACCCTCTTACACTGTTGGTGGGAATGCAAGCTGGTGCAGCCACTCTGGAAAACAGTATGGAGGTTCCTCAAGATGTTAAAAATAGAGCTACCCTACAACCCAGCAACTGCACTACTGGGTATTTACCCTAAAGATACAGATGAAGTGAAAAGAAGAGGCACATGCACCCCAATGTTCATAGCAGCAATGTCCACAATAGCCAAACTGTAGAAGGGGCTGAGATGCCCTTCAACAGATGAATGGATAAAGAACATGTTGTTCTTATATACAATGGAATATTACTCAGCCGTCAGAAAGGATGAATACCCAACATTTGCATCGACATGGATGGAACTGGAGGGTATAACGCTAAGTGAAATAAGTCAGAGAAAGACAATTATCATATGGTTTCACTCATATGTGGAACATAAGGAATAGTGCAGAGGACCACAGGCAAAGGGAGGGAAAACTGAATGGGAAGAAATCAAAGAGGGAGACAAACCATGAGAGACTCTGGACTCCGGGAACCAAACAGGGTTACAGAAGGGAGGGGCGTTGGGGGATGGGGTACCCAAGTGATGAATATTAAGGAGGGCACGTGTCGTGATGAGCACTGGGTGTTATACGCAACTAATGAATCATTGAACACTACATCAAAAACTAGTATGTTGGCTAATTGAATTTAAATTAAAAGAAAGAAAGAAAGAAAGAAAGAGAAAGAAAGAGAAAGAAAAGAAAGAAAAAGAAGAAAGAAAGAAAGAAAGAAAGAGAAAGAAAGAAAGAGAAAGAAAGAAAGAAAGAAAGAAAGAAAGAAAGAAAGAAAGAAAGAAAGAAAGAAAGAAAAAAAGAAAGAAAAAAAAGAAAGAAATCGAAGGCCCTGAGAGGGTTTGCCCAAGATCATCACACATGTCAGTATCAGAGGCGGGACTAAGACCCTGATTCCCGGTGCAGACCGCCTCCACCACCCTCCCTGCAGTCCACTCCTTACCCTTCCCCCATCTACTGCTGCCTGCCATCAGTCCCTGTATTCAAACAAGAGTCTAAACCAGCAGAAGGCAGAAAGAAATGGCATGTTTTTGAGAAAGAAGTTGCAGAAGTTAATTGGTTTACAACAGAACCACTTGGAGCTGGCCTGGTTTCTCTGGACACTGACCACACTGCTCCCATGGCACCCAGCTGGAGGGGCCCCCAACAAGTGATCACTTTCTTCTGATTTCAGCAACTCCTGCGATTTCTTTATAGTTCTGAATTTGGTCAAACATCCTAATACAATGTATAATTATACACAGTGGGCCCCTGAACCATTCTCATCAGTACAGAAGATATGGAAACAGATAATCATTTACATAATTTCACACAGAAAGAGATTCCTAATTAAGCAAGTTCTTAATCATTACAAAAATGTTTCTCATTTCTGTTTAAAAAATCAAATGAGAAATTAACATAAATGCACACACACAGAGCAGTGAACACAAGCAGTAAAAGGTCAGAAGGATATATACCAAGATGCTAAAAGTGGCTACTTTTGAATGGTAGAATTAAAAGTGAGCTTTATTTTATAATTTTCTGTATATTCTATTGTGATTACTTGCTTTCATAACCATCGAAACATAAATTGTCACCAAAAATAAATAAAAGATATCATTACATGAAAAAAATTACTTTCCTGTGCTATTTGAGAACAAAATCTGTCAACATGGTTTATTGGGTCATAATCCAGAAAATCAGGAATGTGATTTTAAAAACAGTTCAGTAGCATCGTAGAAAATCTCAGAGAGCTTGAACTAGATTCTGGGGCTGCGCTGGGCAGCAGGGTAGAATCTGGGTCAAGGATGAGGTGGTTTCCTGGGTGACCCTGAAAAAGTCCCTGCC